GAGTTTCTCAAATCAGTCTTCACCAGTGAGCGACCATTTTGTCAACCAGCCAAGAGAGAACTTCCCAACACATCAACCGAACCACACAGAGAGGCCAAAACAGACACGGCTGCACACGGAAGCACGGGAGACGGTCAAAAGCGAAACCACTCAGCCAAAACAGTCAGCAAATGCGGCTCTGAACTCCGGATTCCATACTCGGCCTGCCCGCACTGGCCTCGCGGACTAGAGACTCGCCAGCCGGCAGCTCCTTCAGGCTTCCCCCAAACGATCCTCCCCAAATGGAGCAGAAAAATCCAGCAAATGCATACAGCACGAGAGTGCCACGTATACCTAGCAGGGATTTTCCTCTAAGCTCTACTTGGCACAAGAAACCCTGCTTGGATCACACTTGGGAACACAACAGAAAAAGAAAATAAAATCCCATCCCAGGGGCTACTTGGCAGACATAAAAGCCAGAAAAGTAACCCTTTGGATAATAAAAATCTGACATATATACACACACCAGACATACGCACAACGAAGAAACCGCAAGATATCTCTGAAAAATCACTTGCTTCAGGAAACACACACACACACAGAAATATCCTCCTGAAACGTGTGTGTGCAAAACACGCAACAAGGGCTCCCCTCCCCCTCCCCCAGGGAAATGAGTGTCACCCTCAGAATATCCCAATTATTTTTCACCTATTGGCCTTGGATAGTTGCCACATCCAAGCCACCTGGTTTGGATTCTGGGGGCGGGTGTGTAAAAACGCACGAGAGTTCGGTTTGTGAGGGAGCCTCAAATCTCTGCTTCCTTCCTTCAACGTTGCAGATTTTTCTACATGATCCCTTCAGCCCGCTTAAAAAAAAAAGAAAAAAAAAAAAAAAACTACACTTCCCAAGCAGCGAGATCTTTTAAATTCCTCAACCACAAAAATTTCCCAAGTCCTTATCATGTGATACCAAAAAGAAAAAAAAAAACTCTTATCAATTTGGCTGGAAACAGTTGTACACGGCCATCCTGCTTCTCAACTTCTGGGTATATTTAAAACCTCGATCAGGAAAAAGAAAGAGGAAGACAGACAGCCCAAGGAACGGGAGGAAAGGCGCACATTCCCCCGTTCGCCACAGTTTCCTCACCCCAGCACGGCCACAGAGCTCTATAGTTTTTAAAAAATCTTGAAAACGCACACGAGATGAAGGAGGAGGGGGGAGAAAAATGGAAAAAGGATACCCGAAGGTCGTTGGGCTCTTTGTATTCGTGTGTGTGCAAAAAGGAGGACTCGCGGCGCCGAGCCGGCAGGCCCCGCCCCTCCCGGCCGGCCGTCCGGATTGGCCGAACCGGCCGCCCCGCCCACGAGCACACGCTGCGCGCCCGCAGCTGCGGCCCCCGGCGGGCGCGGGGCTGGGGGGCTGCTGGGGGCCGCCCGACCCCCGACCCCGCCGCGCTGCCCGCCAGCCGCCGTGCGCCCCTCGCGCACCTGCCTTGCGCTCTCAGCCTTTCCCCATCTTTTTGTTGTTGTTGTTGTTGTTTTCTCGGTAAAACCAGGCCTGGCCCCAACCTTATAATCCGCAGACACTTTGGCGAAACTTGGGAAACTCACTTATTTATTACAGGAACAGTCTAGACTGCGATTTACCCAGCAGGGGTGCGGCGCGAGGGGGCGGGAGCGCGGTGGGGGAGGAGGGTAACTCTTGGAATTTTTGTCGCTGAAGATTTTCAGGCTTAAATGAACTCACAGTAAATTACCGCTTTTCCATGAAAAAGTCCTTTTACGTGTGTGTGTGTGTGTGTGTGTGTGTGTGTGTGTGTGTGTGTGTGTGTGTTGGGAGGCTGTGTGTTGGCACAGCCTGGACTCCTAGTTTTTCGTTACTTGGTCTAAACCCGGTGACAAGAAACTAAAATGGCTCCCTTCACTTCCTGGTGAGGTCTCCAGGCTCCACCTGAGTTTAAGCCACTCATCTGACCCTGCCCCATATTTGCTGTTTGTTCCCGGCTGCCCTCTCTTACCCTGACATGATATTATGCCTTTTCTCAGCTGGTCTTGTCTGTCTGAAGTAATGCCAGTCTTCTTTTCTGCTCCTGTCAGTGTGAAGTTTATTTTTGTAAAACTTTATTTATTTACCCGAAAAGCAGACTTACATAAATAGAGGGAGACATGCAAAGAGAGAAAATCTTCTATCTGTGGTCCACATCCCAAAAGGCTGCGACGGCCCTGCTGAGGCCAGGATCTGGGAACGCCATTTGGGTCTCCCACTAGGGTGACAATTGGGCCATCTTCCGTGCTGCCCTCCCAGATGCCTTAGTAGGTTGTAAGTGAAACACCAGGGACTAGAACTGGTGCCTATATGGGGTGGTGGGATGGCAGGCGGTGGCTTAGTACACAATGCCATGACTCTGGCCCCCAACACAAATTTTATGCTCACTCAGGTTAACAGTACTTGATTTGACTTTTTAATTTTGTTAAAGATTTATTTATTTGTATTACAAAGGCAGATATACAGAGAGGAGGGGAGACAGAGAGGAAGATCTTCCGTCGACTTCCCAAGTGACTGCAATGGCTGGAGCTGAGCCAATCCGAAGCCAGGAGCCTCTTCCAGGTCTCTCACACAGGTACAGGGTCCCCAAGCGTTGGGTCGATTTGACTTTTTTTGAACATTTGTTTATTGAATGTTGAAGGGTGAGAGCAATATCATGCCAGACATGTCTAAGGTTTATTAAGGAGTCTTCGTTAACCAAGCTTGGTGACAGCAGAGCCCACTAGAAATAGCAAATCACAAGTCCATATAGCAATCCGGTCATTTGAAACCCCAAGAGGAACAAATAAATGGTCATTACCCTGAAGTCCATCTGTTAAGCTGACAACTTATGTCCTAGCTTCCCCAGCAATATAAGTTATCCTAAGCGAATAGCCTGGGCACACTTACAAAGCTGCAGACTCTCATCTTCCCCTGGCTTCTCTGCTCACATTGCTTTACTGCTAGGCCTCATCTCTCCTGGAACTCTTGAAAGTACACAAATTAGAAATACAAAGCATCTTTGCATTGCTATCTTCACTGTCCTGCCCAAGCAGTGAACAGAGGAATATAGACACTCAGGGGCTGTACTCAGGGGCTACCTGTCCTTGGAGTCTGTCCTCAGGAAGCCACAGAGCAAGCAGGTACTGGGGAGGCCGGGTGCAAGAGTGAAGGAAGCTCGGGACCAAGAGAGCGAGCCCCTGCCTCTCATGGTCCTTTATAAGGGCTTGTGCGCAGAGTGGCTACACAATAATGCAATGCCTCTGTCTTTCACATTCTAGGTGACAAGCTGCATACCTCAATACATTAGAAAGGCAGATCAGATTTATAGAGAAAAGGAAGAACTTCCATCTGCTGGTTCACTGCCCAAGTGGCCACAATGGCCAGAATTGACCTGATCCAAAGCCAGGAGCTTCTGCCATGTCTCCCACATGGATGCAGGGTCCCAAGGTTTGGGTCATCCTCAAATGCTTTTCCAGGTCACAAGCAGGGAGCTGAATGGGAAGTGGAGCAGCCAGGACACAAGCCAGTGCACATATGGGCTCTTGGTGCTTGCAAAGTGAGGATTTAGCTATTGAACTATCACTCCAGACCCTTGATTCCATCTTGTCTTATATATTTTACTAATTTCATCCCAATTAAGCTGTTGGAGATCAGAGATTCTGCATTTTCCATTCCAAAAGTGCTACTTACTAGTAGCAGACATAATAGAAGATACAAAGCAGTGAAAAATAGACTTTTATGGTTACATGAGACGATTTATTTTATTTGAAAGGCAGAGTGACAGAGAGGGAGGGAAAAAGGGCTTCCATCTACTGCCTCCCTCCCCAAATGGCTGCTACAGCCGGGTCTGAGCCAGCCCAAAGCCTGGAGCCAGAACTACATCCTGGTCTCCCACAGAAGTGTCAGGGTCCAAACATGTAGGCCATAGAACGCTGTCCTCCCTTTGACAACTCACCTGACCATCTCCCTCAAAATTGATAAGACTGACCGTTTCAGACTTGGCACCATTTGAAATACCTGCTTTCCCTAGGTCTCAGTTTACAGGTTCCTGCCCTTTTGGGTCACATTTTGTGTCCATCAATATGTTTTAACCTCATGGCATGGTACCTGACGGCCTTCTCCACCAGTCCCTTATGGCTCTGCACTCCCCCACACACCCCCAAAGCACCTCCCAGATGCTTGGTGGTTCTCTGTCTCTTCCCTTAGAGACCCCTCCTATCCCTATGGCAGAATTTCTCTCTTCCTCTTTCTCTCTGCCTTCTCTCCCTTTCTGCAGCCATCTTCCTCTGCCGTGCTCTTCTCCCTTCCCTGCGGCTGTCTCTCCTTGCTGGAGAAAACACCGGCATGATTCACTGCGTCTGGCATCTTGGATGAATGGCGAAAGTAGATAACACTCCCAACCAACACTCCAACATGGGAAACCCACATCGCAAACCACAGTCCAATGCAGTGGAATACAATGTCAGCTGCATAGTGTAGTCCAGATGCAGCTGCACGGCCCAAGTTCATAATCACTGTGCCTCACGTACTGTATTCTCCCATGGGGTCTGCCTGAGCAGAAAGCTGGAGTTAGGAGCAGGAGCCATGAATGAGACCTGGCTCCTACCCACCCCATCAAGCCCCAGTGTGGCATTTGTGGCACTTGACTGTCTTAACCACTAGGCAGAAAGCCCTCCCTACCTCCTTGGCTTTCCAAACCAGTTTTAAAAAATATGTTGTCAACCTGATTTTTCCTTGCAGCTTTCAGTAAGACAAATGGGCTGAGCTGAACTGAAGGTCAATGTCAATGAAGCCACACGCAAAGATGAGGGGACTATTCTAATTACAGAACAATAAAGTGACATGACCACAAAATACAAAGTCTGAAAAAAACAAATTGATATTACTAGGATAATTGGGGGAAATTGAATGTGGCCTGGATTATAAACACTTCGATTGTATCAGTGTTAAACGGGAAAGTTATTGGCATCCCCATTATGCAAAAAGCTGGGATTTGCAAGGCCATAGACACATCACGACATGTCTCTTGTCCTGGTGTGTTAGAGTTCTTGTAAAAAATATGGTCTTAATTCACTGGCAAGGGCCTGCAGTGTGCTGTTAATGCCCAGATTAGAGACATACCTGAAAGGAGGGTGGGTTAGGGGGTTCCTCCCTCTGCCCTTTAGGATTTGGTGGGTGCCTGTTGGGGTGTTCTCCAAACCTTCTTATTTGTTCTTCCAGGGGAAAAAAAAAAAAAAAGCTGGGATTCATCACTTATGCCAGGCAGCTGATCTGGTTCCCATGCATGCATACATTGTGAAACTGGCCACCCATCTTTGTTTCCAAAGTACAGAATGTTCTTGTTAATTCTGGTTCTCAGGCCTGGCATGATGGCTCATTGCCTAAATTCTCACCTTGTAAGTGCTGGGATCCCATATGGGCATCGGTTCATGTCCTGGCTGTTCCTTTTCCCATCCAGCTCCCTGTTTGTGGCCTGGGAAAGCAGTCAAGGACAGCCCAAAACCTTAGGACCTAGGTACAGCATGGTAGCCTAGCGGCTAAAGTCCTTGTCTTGCACACACCAGGATCCCATGTAGGCGCTGGTTCTAAACCCATTAGCTCCACTTCTCATCCAGCTACTGTTTGTGGTCTGGCAAAGCAGTTGAGAATGGCCCAAAGCTTTGGGATCCTGAATCTACTTCGGAGACCCAGAAGCTCCAGGCTCCTGGGTTCAAAAACTCAGCTCTGGTCATTGCAGCTACTTGGGGAGTGAATCGGCGGATGAAAGATCTTTCTCTCTCTCTCACTACTCCTCTCTGTATATTTGCCTTTCCAATAAAAATAAATAAATCTTGGGCCTAGCGTGGTGGCCTGGCACCTAAGTCCTCACCTTGTACACGCCAGGATCCCATATGGGTTCCAGTTCTAATCCCAGCAGCCCCACTTCCCATCCAGCTCCCTGCTTATGGGTCCTGGCGCATTGAAGGCTAGGACTTTAGCCACTAGGCCACTGTGCCGGGCCCTGTTTTTTAGCTTTAATAACACAAGCCTCCTGTAAAATCATAGGGGAAAATCTTTGTTTTTGATAGGCCTTGTCTAGTATACCTCATAGTCTCAAATATACATATGATACAGGATTTTCAAAAATATTTGAAGGAAGGGAAAGCAAATGATACTCATGGGTATAACCAGCAGTTTTGGGAGGTTTATGTGTTGGTGGGAACTCTGTATTTCCTTTCATCAATGGCATGGGATAGGCACTGCTGTGCTCCTTCCACTGGGGAAAAAGCGGAGACTGCAGGAGGTGCCGTGGAGTTCATTAGCGCAGTGATGGGGTTGGCTGTGCTGACTGCGCGCAGAGTTGCGATCCAGTCCGCCTCACTCCCACCCTCTATTCCTGCCTGGCGAAAGGCAAGATGTCTTGATTCTCGTATCCTCCCCAACCCCACTACGACAACTGCTGGCATATATTTTTTAATTATGAATTCGTTTCTCCAAAGGTCAGCGTAAAGGCATTTGTTTAGTCTTCCCCTCTGGTTATCTTTGAGTAGCAAGTTGGAGTAGAGCAATTGGGGTCTATGAGGGAACGCAACCAGGAAGCAAATGTGTCCCTTCCAGCCACAAGTAGTAATTTCAACTCCAAAGTATCTGAGACTTTAAATATTAGACTTTGCAGCTGCCTTGTTGATGGAGGAAAAGCTGCCTTTTTGGCTTTGAGTCAAGTGGATCTTGTCTGTGCCATGGGATCCCACAGGGGCCTCCTGACGGTGAATTCTAACTTCCCCTAGGGTTAGCTCCGGAAGCTGCTTGCCACAGTCATTCATTCACACGTTTGAGAGCATCTCGGAGCCGGGAGCGGAGGGGAAGCCTGTGCCAGGTCCTCAGAGACCCTAGAGAGGGAAGAGGAGGCACAGCCACAGAGACCAGGGAGCTTGTAGCAAGCTGGAAGACAACGCAAAGGCGGAGACTTGGGGGGCAGGTTGGCAGGTGGCCATCAGAGCGGGGTACTCAAAGAAGGGTGAGAAGGAAGAGTGGGCTTTTGTTTTTTGTTTCTTTCGAGTGAGAGCGAGAAAGAGAGAAAGAGAGCTCACAGTCATGGGCTCACTCCCTGAATGCTGAGGCACAATATGGAAAATGGAAATTCAACCCAGGTCTCCCACATGAGTGGCAGGTGCCCGTTTACTTGACCTGTTCTGCCTGTCATCCCAGCAGCATTAGCATCAGCTAGCTGAAAGCTGGAACTGGTACTCAAACCCAGCTATTTTTATGTGGGGCATGGGGCATCTGACTTATTTTTTTGAAAGACTGATAACAGAGAAGGTTAGAGAGACAAGGAAATGTTTCATCTGCTGGTTTCATCCCAGATAGCAATAAAGGCTGGCACTAGGTCAGGCCAGATTCAGGTGCTCAGAGCTTTGTGCTCTGGTCCTCCTGCATGGCTGGTAGTGCCTTTCTACTGCTTTACTCAAGCCATTAGCAGGCAGGTGAATTAGAAATTGAGCAACCTGGACTGGAATTAACATTTATGTCAGTATTTATATGGGTGCCAGCATTACAGGTGGCAGCTTAGCTGCAGCACCACCATGCCGGCCTAATAATTTTAAAATAATTAAGACATCATTAAAACATTAAATAAGATGCAATAACATTAAAACTAAAGATTTTTACTATACCGTGTTCTGGTTCCGGGTATAGTAGTTTAAGCCTCCGCTTGCAGCACCAGCATCCCATACGAACATCGGTTCAAATATCCTAACTGCTTCACTTCCAGTCCGGCTCCTTGACTGTGGACTGGGAAAACAGTGGAGGATGACCCAAGGTCTTGAGCCCCTGCACCCATGTGGGAAAACTGGAGAAGACTCCTGTGTTTGGAGTGGCTCAACTCCAGCATTTGTGGCCTTTGGGGAATGAATTAGTGGGTGGAAGCTCGGTCCTTTGCTCTCTGTCTCTCCTCCTATTTCTGAACTCTGCCTTTCAAATAAAAAAAAATTACTGGTCTTCTTCTGTGTCTCCCACTTGGGTGCATGGTCCCAAGGACTTGAGCCGTCCTCCACTGCCTTCCCAGGCCACAAGCAGGGAGCTGGACGAGAAGTAAAGCAGCTGGGACATGAAGTGGCGCCCATATAGGATCCCGGCCCTTGTAGGCAGAATATTGACCCATTGAGCCAGAACAATTGCTTCCTTCCCCCACCCCTCAAATCAATATTAATGAAGAAATGAATGTGTACATTGAGAGCTAAAGCAAATATGGTGACATGAGAACTGGATCTATATGAAGAGTATGATATATACATATTTATTGTGCTAGTCTTTCCACTGTTGTGAAGTTTTGAAACATTTCAAAATTAAAAACAAATATGATTAAAAACAAATACCATTTGCATTAGATATTTAGATTTTGTCCTTTCCAGAGGCAAGATGGTCTGCAGGACTCCAGGATCCTGATTTATTTCAGGATTCTGTTGTAATGCTTCGGAAAACTCCCAAGCACACATTAATGAATGCCGCCCAAGCTGTGAGAGCATTTTTTTTAAATAGGTGGAAGAAAATGATAATGGTCGCCTGTAAAGCAGAGCAAAGCACAAAGAAAATAGCTCAGCTGCCTTTTTTAGGGCATGGGCCTTGGGAGCACAGCTTCCTTGCACACCAGCCATGAAGAGCAGAGCAGGTATGCCGGGACCCCCACCCAAGTAGCAGCCAAAGCACCAGTCTCCACCAGGGTCTAAAACAAACAAAACATGCCTAGGGGACTCACAGGCAGAGCTTCTCAGGGGCCGGCCCTGCTCTGTGGAGAGGAATCCTGCCTGTTAAAGCAGAGGCCCTGCAGGGGCGGGGCCTGGGTAGGTGCACGGGGTGGAGCTGCTGCCCCAGACTGGCTTTTAGGAAGTCTCTCCTTACCAGCATCTGCAACCAGGGGGTGGCACAAGCATGACAGGGAGTCTTAGCATAGATAATCTTAATTTGTCTGATTTTTAGGAATTAATCAGAGGGACTTTGAGAAAAGGTTTATGGAAAACCTATAGTGTGAAAAAATTAAGCAGTGGATTTCAAAACTTGTACCAAAGTAAACTTAACTTCATTTTCCCATAAACTTTTGGAAGTACCCTTGTGTATGTTTCATAGGATGTTTTTGTATTCTTTTAAAACTTTCATTTCATTCATTTGAAAGGCAAAATTACAGAGAGAGAGACAAATCCGTCTGCAAGCTCAGTCCCCAGAGGGCTGTGATGGCCAGGGTTATGCCAGGCTGCAGCCAGCAGCTAGCATCATAAACAGATGCTTAACCTGTTATGCCACAATGCAGATCCCTTGTGCTATGTTTAAAAGGAACACGCTGTCAACATTGTGGCACAGTAGATTCAACTACTGTCTGCAATGCCAAGATATTTTGCTACTAGGCAACTGCACTGGGCCCCAGCCTGCAATCTTGATCCCTTGCACCTACAGGAAGACTCAGATGGAGTTTTGGACTCCTGACTTCAACCTGTCGTACCAGCCCCAGCCTCTCTCCAGTCTGCCTTGCACATAAATAAAATAAAAATATATATATATATACAAATAAGACAGATGGTATTTTGAAACTAAGCACTAATAGTACTGGGAGTCACGATGCTGAACAAGGCAAGAACCAGTGGCATGATGGCAGCAGGGTGAAATCATTCACTCATTGTGTTCATGGCACATCTTAGTAGTCAGCGCAAATAAAACGAACACTACACTTAAGTGTTTATTATTATTTTATTTTATTTTATGTATTTATTATTTTTTGAAAGTCAGATACATAGAGAGGAGAGACAGAGAGGAAGATCTTCCTTCTGCTGATTCACTCCCCAAGTGGCCACAAAGCCAGGAGCTTCTTCCAGATCTCCCATGTGGGTGCAGGGTCCCAAGGCCTTGCGACATTCTTCACTGCTTTCCCAGGCCATTAGCAGGGAGTGGGATCAGAAATAGAGCAACTGGGACATGAACTGATGCCCATGTGGGATGCCTGTGCTGCAGGCAAAAGCTTAGCCTATCATCCACAGAGCTGTCGCTTCTTTCTTTCTTTTTTTTTTTTTTTTAATTGGAAAATCAGATTTACAGAGAGAAGGAGAGACAGAGAGAAAGGTTTTTTTCCATCTACTGGTTCACTCTCAAGTGGC